ACCGACCATACTCACCATACTGACCATACCGACCATACTGACCATACTGACCATGCTGACCATGCCACGCTCATGCTGACCAGGCTGACCATACTGACCATACCGACCATACTGATCATACTGACCATGCTGACCATGCCACGCCCATGCTGACCAGGCTGACCATACCGACCATACTGACCATACCGACCATACCGACCATACTTACCATACTGACCATACCGACTATACTGACCATACTGACCATACTGACCAGGCTGACCATGTTGACCATACTGACCATACTGACCATGCTGACCATGCTGACCATGCTGACCATGCCAAGCCCATGCCTTGCAGTCAGTCATTGTTCATTGCACATCATGTTGCACCCATTGATTGATAAATGATGATTATGAAAACCCTCACCCTCTGCTGATCATTTAAAGTGATAGTCTGTAACGCTAAATGAATTACACATTTTAGGAAATGTGTTAAATTGACCTCCTGGCCTTAAATGTTGGTATAAAATACGTAATTTTATTAATTCTAATATTACGGGCAAGTCCCGCCTTCCCTGCTCTTAGCTATAGTTCAGAATCCACGGTGCCGTCGAGGTTAACCAATCGAGGAATGCCAAGGGCTGTCAATCATCGGCTGTTTGTTTTCGCGGAGCCTCCGAATCAAGCCTATTAGGCTCTGGAACTACATGAAAACTGAACAAAGAATTCTGAACATCCGCGCTGAGGTACTTATGTATATACTGAACCTATATCCATAATCATTTATATACTGAACCTATATCCATAATAATTTATATACTGAACCTATATCCATAATCATTTATATACTGAACCTATATCCATAATCATTTATATACTGAACCTATATCTAGAATCATTTATATACTGAACCTATATCCATAATCATTTATGTACTGAACCTATATCCATAATCATTTATATACTGAACCTATATCCATAATCATTTATATACTGAACCTATATCTAGAATCATTTATATACTGAACCTATATCCATAATCAGATCCTCTGCAGATGTGTCTTATAATGTGCAATTCATGATAATAGCTTCTTCCGGGTTTTCCGCGATCGCTTTTTTTGTGCATGAAAATATAATTTTTTTCATTAAACGTTCACAAATAATTCTGAAAACCTCCGTGCATGTGTATTAATAATGTATATGTATAATATGTTCTCTGATTAACATTTCAAAGTGTTACGGAAACGTAGGTGTAGACCAATCAGAAAGGAAGGGGGAGGAGCTTGCGTCGTTTTTTTCAACTCAAGTACCTCTCTCTCTCTTTCTGACAAACTTCAGACAATCACTTTAAGTAAGTAAGTGATTGTTATTTATATAGCGCCTCAGACCAGAATCACAAAGAGCTTTACAATTGTTATTTCTGGGCATTTGTCTCTCCCTCCACGCAGAGACGGAAGCGAGGTCACCTACAGCTCGCTCCCATCACATGCCAGACCTATTGCACATGTTTTTAGTGGTAGGGGAAACCGGAGCACCCGGAGGAAACCAGAGCAGCCGGAGGACACTGGAGCACCCGGAGGAAACCCTGATTGCCTCTTACAACTGTGGGCTGCCATCTTTGTTGACAAACACACCGACTCACTGACTTCATGTCCAAGAAATCTGGCGCTCTGATTGGTTGAAACTGGGTCAATGGCAATTTACATACTACATTACATGATAAAAAGTTCACATTTCAGTTGGCCCTAGAAAAAATACGACAAGGAAAGATCAAGGCTGTATCACAACTGACGGAGCAGCCATCTTCCTGTGGACTCACCCCCTGCAGAGGATCAGCGAGGGACTGGTGCTATGAGCATTGGGTGGCAGCTCTCATTGCCACCCCCCTGACCCAGAAATGGACTAATAAAGGGGTTGAAAATGAATGAATGAAATGAATGGTTTGTGTGGAAACTTCAGATTGTGTTCATATTGTTATAAGCTTTCAGAAAACGTTGAAAAAAAGTATTTCCCATGACGCTGGAACAGAAGTTAAAAATATTCAATCTAGCACGTGGCCTATTATTGTAAGTGGACATTATGGCTCTCCTTTCACACAACTGCCATCGTCAGAGCCTAAAGATACAGTGCGAGTCTGTCGGGGGCAAAATGAGAGTGTAGTACGAGAGCAGACGCCTCCACATACAGCAGCCATGGAGCGCAGACACGTTGAACCAGCGCCAGTCCGCACGCCACAGTAAATCTGCAGGGACCAATAGTGACAGAATAAACGAGGCTCGTGTATCATGAGTAGGATGTTGCGGCGGCAGATGGGAATCACATCATAGGACGGTGTAATTTAGAAGCAGGGTCTGAACACAAGTCATCAAGCTGTTAAACAACTATTCACATCAGGCTCATAAATTTCCCCCGGTGAGAACCTGTGGATAGAATGGAAAAGTGATCTTGGGTTTGGCGGTTGAGTCATGTAAGGTTAGAAGAAACAAAATGCAAGTCAGTAAAATGTGGATTAATTTGCATGCTACAGTACATCTGCCCTCTGTTCCCTGCCTCATAAACCATGGGGCACCACCTCCTTCTAGCACCTTCTTCTCTGTGTGGGAGGCAGCACTGTGGGTCAGACGTTCTAGGGTTACCACTCCTCCACATGCCAGGCATAAGCCACACATGCCCATGCAAACATGTAGGCCACGAAGGAGATTATTCTCGGATATGCCACTCGCTCATGTTGACTTTGCCCTGCGCTAGATCATGTTATGTGACAGTGCTTAGGAACTAAAGACCTAACCACTCATTAGGAAAGCGATACATAAATCACCAGCAGTTGGCTTTGTGGCCAATGTTGTTGATTCATTTGGCTAAGTTACAATGTACATGGGAAAAAATCATATCTCATGTTGGTTCTTCACATGTAGACTGTGTAAACTTGTGTAAACTTTTGTAATGTGTAATATAAGTGTAGCAGTGCAGCGTTAGCCTGACCTCGTCGTCCTTAAACTCTGGTCATTTATCATTTCCTACATGTACGTCTGGGTCTGATCCTACAGGCTGCTGTGACCTCGGTTGAATCCATAGACTGTATATATTAACGGACGTAGTTACGCCTACATTATCTCCGCCGTTCTAACTAATGGGCCAAAAATTGGGCTCTCATGGAGTGATTCAATATGGCCGCGGGGGCTGGAAAATGTGAAAAAACGCATCTGCTCATGCGTCAGTGAATTTCCGAGTGACTTCAGAAATTCACTGCGAGTAAACTAGACTGGTCCAAAAAAATTAACTCCCCTCAGCATTATAATAATAATGCATTGGTTTTATACAGTGCTTTTTTGGACACTCAAAGACGCTTCACATGTGTCATTATTCTTTCATTCCATACACGGTGGTGATAAACTACTACTGTAGCCACAGCTGCCCTGGGGCACACTGACAGAAGCCATCGGCCCCTCCGACCACCACCAACCGTTCACACACCAGACTCATTCTAGGCAATGGGGATAAAGTGTCTTGCCTAAGGACACAACGACAGTTTGGCACTTTACAGCCGCAGCCGCCCCACTGTGGCTGGTGTTCTCAGAGGTTACGTGTCTTGCCAAGGACACAACGACAGCAGACAGTGGGAGTCGATGGTGCAAGCCGGGCTCGAACCCATGACCCTCTGGCTCAAAGGCCAATGCTCTACCAACTGAGCTACTGTCCCCTCAGCATTGACACACTTGTGGAACGGAGCTTTGGGCCAAGACCCAACTTTTGGACCATCCTGTGAAGACGTTTTCGAGAGGTAAGAAGATGCTATATGTTAGCATTGGCTTATTCTTATTGCGGGTCCACCCCCATCGGCCCCGGGTGGTATAGCAAGCATGTCAGCGCACAGGATTTTGGCCACTTTGGGGGGGGGGGTGACGTCAAGAGTTTGCTGAAAATTGGCTGGTTGTAGTTTGGCCATGGCGAAGAATGCGTTAGTAAATGAAGCTCTTCAATCTGTTCTGGTTCGGCTCCAAACAACAAGAAATTGAAGCTGGAGCAGGAGGAATGTTAAGCAAATGTCATTGCTGCAAAGATGTTGTGGCTCGCCACGGACTCTGTTAGTGGCAAGAGATGACTAAAGCTATCCTAAATGCTAAAGCAAGGCTAAATGCTCACTCAGGTAAACTCAGATTCAAACGTTTCAATCTGTAAGAGGAGTTCACCCCTCCCACCTGTTAACAGAGCTTTATGGAGCAAATCCAGAGCTTACTAAAACATGAAAATTGTACGATGGTATGGTAAGACCAGGCTAGTGCAGGGTAGGATTTAAAAAGAAAAGACTATTGTCCTTAGTTATGCATTTCTTTTGTTTTTGTCACTTACAACAGTCACACACCACTTAAAGTATACAGTGTTTACTTTATTGTGAAAACCATCAACAGAAAGAGTGAAAACAGTCAAAAACAGCAGGAGACGACTTTAATGAATATCTTCGAGTTGAGGATGGTGTGGAACAGAACAAGTGGAGGTAGTTTATGACTCATATGCTGTTTATTACACACGTCTCACCACTTGTTGAAAGAAGCTTGGTGCTGCACCTCTCCGGAGGCGCTGGTGTGTGTGTGTGTGTGTGTGTGTGTCTGAGCGTGTGTGTCCATGTGGCCCACATTTAGGTCCTGTAAAGCTCTAGCTTTAGGTGTGAAGAAGCTGAGGCCCACCTGTCAAAAGGGGAAAGTGATCCCTCAGTGCACTGCTCACATATCAAAGTTCATCTCTGAACCTCGAGGGAGTGATTTCCACTCAATGCACTGATCAGTGTTGGATGAGGCCTTCCACAGATACTTTATTGAATCAAATCATTAGACAACATCAGAAAAAATAAAGTGTATTTATTTCAACATTATATTAGACAAATACCACAAATAAATATACATTCAATCAAAGACAATAAAAAAACAAGACACTGGATTAAAGGGGATTTGAGATTCAGAAACCATAGAAAAAAAGAATATATATATGTATATAGTGTGTACAATGTGGTTCATGTTCGTATTAAAGGTTTTTCAGAAGTTTACACTCTGACTGAATCCCCATCCAGAAGCCTGGGAGGACCTTCTTCTCAATGGGGGTCTGGAATCTGTACAGCAGCGTGGCCTGTTTGTCCTCTCCTTCTCCACTCACCATATAAAAGCAGATCACCCCCGCAGGCTGGTCCACATACACCCCGATCACAGGGCAACTGGGAACATTCTTGATCACTTCGCTCACACCATTAGCCCAGACCTCGTAACAGGAGCCTGCCCAGCACAGACCCCAGGACTCATCATTCTCTCCCAGGCCACTCGGCTCAGAGTCGGCTCTACGCGGAGCTCCTTCATACGTCACCCCAATGAACACCCATCCGGAGTATTCTACTTCCCAGTACGCCCTCATGTTCCAGATCCCCTCTTTGCACAGCACCTTCAAACACAGACAGAGTTAACAATCACAGAACAACCACAGGTACTCTCTTCTTGTACCTGTGGGGAGAACTCGTATCTCTCAGGTCGATCCAGGACGGGACAGATTTCTTGGGTCCTTCGACAGACTTTAGAGCCACCGTCTGAGATCCACAGCACTCTGTTGGCTGTTTTGTCATCAAACGTTAGCGGTATCCAGTCTGCAAATGAAAGTTTGATGAAGTTATTGTAATCGTCAATGTCATAACAACATGTGCAACAAAAACTATGGCATGTTCATACGCTTTACAAGCTCCGCTCTGCAGGTGGGTTCTGGGACATTTGGCTCATATACAGGGGCTTGTTCTACAGGAGCAGGTTTACACATCATTAAAGAGTGAGACTATACATATATATCTAAATACTACTATTATAGATGTATAAATGTAGCTAAGATACTGTCAACAATCACTGACCTTTTATGCTGCTTGACTTTTTACCTAAAGACCACATACATATCCATTAAACACAGTATTTGTCTCTTTGAAAGATGAATAAACCCCGGAAAGTATCAACATACGACAAAGTTCTGAGGTGAGATATTCTCTGTACAAACACATGCACTTTTCCAGAGTTTGTATTTTACCTGATTTTCCGTTTCTGGAGACAACCTTTTCAGACAAGGACGTGCCCGGCATTGTGACACTCTGAGATGAAGACGTCCTAGCCTCGCTCGGTTTCACAAACACATTTCAGATCACGGAGTAGGAACTATTTGGAGCCACTGGGTGTTTTATACCCCTCTACTCTAGTCTCAAGGCGGGAGGGGGGGATCAGCAGCAGTTCAAGGAGGGTAGGTACATACTTCACTTTGACTTATGGAGTCAGGGGGAGATCCTGAACACCTGACCCTGAAGGAACTCAAGAAGTCGGGTCCAAAAAGTTAAAGGGAAAGAAACGGTGCTGATAGTAATGTCTCTGTTGTCAACGCTTTCCCCAGAGGAAGCAGAAACACATCAGATGTTTCACCATGTGACTAAAAGTGATCTACAACATGAAATATGTCTTTCAATGTGAATTAGGAAAGCAAACACTTATATTATCAAGCTTAAAATACCAGAGTCAGTAAACTACAACCTGTGACTTAGCAACAGGTGGTAGATTGGACTCTTTCACAACCACACCGTTGGACATCGCAGAAACATGAAAGAAAAAGCTTGACGGATGGCTGCCACATGGTTTCTCCTCGTCTCTTTCTCCTTATGTTTCACCCTCTTATGTAATCAGAATAAAGCTCAGTCAGCATTACCGCACGCAGACACAGGCCGTTTTGTTCACCATGTAATACTTTAATAAGTGTACCGAATCCTGTTTACATTTAAACAACAAACTCATATAATTATAAATATAATCAAACAAAGGTTATGAATATATACAGTTGAAAACAAACAATGGTATAGAATGGTCCGGGGGTTTTCAGAAAAGACCCAAAAACAGGAAATTCGCTGGTTCTGCTTCCATGTGTGCAACAGAGTAGAAAATGGTCTAGCTTTATGTTCTAAGAATATTAGCTTTTTTGTTATTAGTGTTTGAAGACTTCTCTTTAGAACTCTGAGTCCATTATTCCTCATTCTTCAAAATGATTACGTGAGATTGTGTCCCCACCCAGAAGCCCGGCAGCATTATCTGACTGAAGGTGGTTTTGACCTGCTGCAGAAGCGTCACCTCTCTCGCTCCTGTGCTCTCCTCTCCCTCTTTCACTTCGTCCACCGCGTAAAAGTTGAGGATTCCGGCCGGCTGGTCGAGGTACACCCCCATCATGGAGGCCTTCGGGACGTCCGTGATCTCTTTGCTTTTGCTATTGTGCCAGTAATTATAAGAGGTGCCACTCCAGCCCAGACCCCAGGATTCCTCGTTCTCTCCAAATCCACACGAGCCGTCGGCGTTCCTGCGTCCAGCCCGCTCATAGGCCACTCCAACCACGATCCACCCAGAAAACTCCACCTCCCAGTATCCTCGGAAGCCCAGGATCCCCTCCTTACACAGGACCTGCATAAAGATGACAGCGGTATTTAGAGGCAATCCAACACAACGCTAGATTTATAGCTTCAGTCACTGTCAAGCATTCGACGCAGCCTGACTTTGTCTGTGTTGCAATGCCAAGATTTTTGACATTGGAATGATTTAAAACAAACACCAAGACCGTCGCCTGTACGGCTTTACAGCTTTATGGCTAAATCAATACCGACCAACTATGGTATGCTAGCTGCAAACACACACATATCTCTCTTTCAGCACTGAAGGTAATATATGAGGCACTAAAGAACAAGAATACACGCTAAAGGCAGAGATTTTACTTTGCTCCTCATTCCTATTGTCCTGCAACCGCTGATGCAACACAGAAATGTCTCCACCATGGGATGAATAAAGGATTCATCTTCTCTGTTTTCTAGAGCTACTAAACATATGTACACTGATACACACTGGAGTAGACTTTCCATTGTTTTTCCAATATGGTTTTACTGTAGATGTCAAATAGATTCTTGAATCTTGTAAACATTAGGATAAGGTTATAGACAGTACCTGTGGGGCATATTCGTATCTCTCTGGTCGGTCTAAGACTGGGCAAGTGACCTTATCCGTTTTACGAGACACCTTAGAGCCGGCGTCTGTTATCCAGAGAGTCTTATTTGCCGTCTTGTCATCGAGGGTTAGGTTATGCCAATCTAAAAATAGTTCAAAGAAGAAACATTGTTCAAACTTGTCACATGTAACAATACTGCACTGCAAATTATAAGCATTTCTTACATTTGACAAGGTCCTCTCTGCATTTAGGCTCTGGGATGTCCGGTTCGTAGGGGGGGTTTTTTTCTGAGGGGGGGGGGGACAAACTGAAGGTCAGAGGAATCAAATGGTGTGACGAACATGCAAAAGACTTCGATTGGCATTCATGGAATAACTGCTAGCATTAAAGCTCGGGAATAGTTGCTACTGTGGATGTACCTGCGGCTGTGTTTCCAGATTTGGACTTTTTGCCTTCGAAGAGAAAAAAAAATAGACACAAGATAATGATAATGGTAATTCAATTCAATTCAATGTGTTCTTGTATAGCCCTGAATCACAACAGTAGGACTTTACAAAACGGTTGAAAACGCCAACACAGATCAGAGAATGAAACTATGGAGCTATTGGTCCATAAGAGGCAGATGACCAATGTCCATCATGATAATACTAATAATACATACATACATTCATGCCAACAAAGACAAAAGACAACATGGAAAAGTGAAACACATGTAGAGTCTAAAACAGACGGTTAAATTAAGGCATTTCCATAATAATGAGAAGTGAGTAAACAGTAATAATAATAACCAAAGCCACGCTACTGACAGCAATAGAATTACTACAGGCAACAGAGAGCGTGTTAGGTGATGAAGTGGGTTTCAGAAAACAAGGTATATTTGGAAAACCATCTGCCTCTGTCAGATCATCACCACATACTTCTTGGAGCCAATGGTCCATCCATGCCAAGAGGTTGGAATTACCTCACATGTCGCTGCATTGGCTTCAGTCACACACTCTATTAGCGTGACAGGCCATCGCAGCACGGACAAGCAGTCACTTCAATGGGCGAGGATGCGAATCAGCTCCAAGCGACCCCGTATTATTACAGCTAGGACTTATTTAGAGCGAGCCAGTCCGAATCCTAATATGATGTTGGGTGCTCCGTATAAACATTTACTGTCTGACGCAACCACAACTTTTATTATCCGCAAATACTGAGCTTTGCCTTGTGTTTTCAGTAACTAATACTATAGTATCGCATGGCTGATCCCGAGGCATTAAGATGTCAATGTCAGCGAATGGTAAGTGATGTGTTTTTCATCCTCCCAGAATAAACTCCATATGTCTCCCACAATTTTTAAACCGTCTTCCATCATAAGGGGCAAGAACCTGTCACAAATGACCCTGGACAGGCCTCAGGTATTTTTTTTTCACATATGCCGGATCAAGGTGAGGCTGCATTCTTGCGCCCCTGCGTCTCCTAAATCGACTTGTCAGTGTTGTCCAAATGTTTGCACTATTAATGTATTTGTGGCCACTTGCGATTCCACAAGACAAACCCAGAGCAGATGACATGGAGCCACCTGTCAGGAGTTACAAGAAGGTGGTGAAAAAAACACTATGTCTAGACTCATTAAAACTGATCCGTCAAAGCCTGTTAGCTGCAGGGAGCCAATCAGTAGCTTAAAAGTACAAGATTGTACTTTTAGACTAATTCCATCCATTGTCCCACAGCCGCACTCACCCTGAACTATTCCACATGTTTTTAGCGGTACGAGAAACCAGAACGATCGGACGAAACCTAGGCAGTCACGGGGAGAGCATGCAAACAGAAGGCCTTTGAAGAATCGAACCCTGGAGCCTCCTGCTGTGAAGCACTAGCGCTAACCATTACACCGTGTTCGTGGTCGTCACACTGCAGCGAAATTGTCAAACATAAAAACACACATCACACGGCACAAAACATGCAGAAGGAAAAAAATTGAGAAAAAAAACAAAATCTGTGGAAAACCCAGTGGTCTGTGATCCTCGGTAACACCCACAACAGCAGAAAAAGTAATACAGTGAAAAAGCCACACACGCATGTTAGTTAAAATGTCCTGGTTTTAAATGAGAAACTACCTCTGACAGACTTGGAGTCCGAAATAATTCTGTTGGTGGTGGGCATGTTGGTTGGAGCGTCACAATCAAGATAAAGTTTTTGTTGGGCTGATGATTCTTCTTCTGCAGGTGTGATGACTGCTGTGTGGAGCACAGAGGGATGCACTTATATATGTTATAGACAGGACAGAGGTAAAGGGACACGTGTGCAGCAGAACAGTTGCCAATGAGGTCAGGGGGTGGATTCGCCTGTCATTGGAGCGCAGATGTATGTTTTTCCTTAAAAAGCTTTGCTGGACGCTTAGTCGCATGTTAAGACACCTCCTAGAAAAGTTCAACCCCCGCCTACTTTTCAAGATGACATGTTGACATTGCATGCATAGTAGAATGAATATTTGTCATACAGACAAACGCCTCCTCCACACGCATGAAGCCACACATGCAGGTGCAGAGACACGATGCAGACCAGAGACCAGAGCAGAGGCCAACAGGTGCACAGCAAACATGTGAGTACTGCACTCTTTTCACCAAAATAGATAATGTGACACATTTATACATACACACATATGTGCATACATACAGATTTACATATATACATACATGCATTTGTGCAAATGTGCATGTGTGTCCATGTTTCTCATCAAACAGAAAACTTCATGATTGATGTAGCTACATGCCATAACAGCTTCACACGATGTCTTTTTAAGACCTTCCATATTTATGCAGCTGATGAAAAAGCTCCTAAACAGAACATTCACACCACAGTTAAATGGATTCAATGAAGCTGACATGATTATTAAAACAGCAGGGAGTCTGAAGGTTGTTCAGTTTGTAGTATTAGGTTTAGTTCCGCTCTTGACCTGCATTAGCACATCCAACAGTTACCATCACAAACCCTCCGCACACATGACTCGGTGGGAGAGATAAAGTAATGTGTCTGCTCGTAAACCCTCTCTTCTGATGTGCCCTGCGCTGCAGGTGGTTTCCCTGAGGTGTTTACGATGAGGGAATGGTGCCAAAGGCCCCATCAAGGCTGTGTTGTCCTTCTTATGTTCCTGCCGGCACACAGTTGACTGACGACGGCACGGACTGGGGGAATCTGACATACTAAACAGGACATACCAGGAATTATGGAGATGGAATAGGACCAGACCTCCCGCTGGGATTTATACAAATTAAAAGAGGGTAAAGAAATGCCCTGCGTCACTCGATCGTTTATATGGATGTATGAAAGTCATGAAGTCTCCTAAAGCAGCAGGAGGGCTGTTTCATAAGAGCAGTAACACGAGCGATGTCTATAAAACCACTTCTGCCTCCACTGGAAACCTGGCGACCACAGACCTGTGTTTCAGCGTTTGGCCATCGCTGTCAAAGCCGGGTCTTATCAGATCTTCTCATGTTGCTTCCATCAATATGATCTTGTTTTTAATTTGAAAACGAGATATATTATTAATGAAAATGCTTTTTGAGGACCTGGCCTCCACTCGGATCAGATCTCGTCAGGCACAAGTCAAGGAACATTTCAAACAAACTCAAAGGAACAGTATTTTGCCGCCTGTCAGCACTGGAGCAGTGGATCCGTCTTATGTAACAGTTCTGTTCTGTACGCAGGAACCAGATGACTGTAAACTGATCCATTTCCAAGATGTGCGTTTGATTACAAAGAGATGACAGGATAATTATGAGCACAAAGTGCTATGATACGGGTCAAGAGATCAGGCACAAGTTGGCACTCAGGGCATATTCTGATCTGGCAGCCATGAAGGCACGCCCATTAGTGAGCTCATTATCTTAACATACCTTTCCCAAAAGCTCTCAGGCGGCCCCTGGGGCCTCCCAAAGCTTTAATGCCCTCTTTCATTTGTGTATATAAAGAAACGATAGCTGTCATTGTTGTATCATTCGCTGACAGACGAGACCGTTCTGTAAAACTCACTGGAGCTAAGAGCATTAAATATGCCAACGAGCTCTCCCAATCAGAGCATCATGGCCACGGGGGGAAAAACTGGTAAGACCAAAGACTCCTTTTTGAAATCTCACTCTAGTATTCTGGAGGAAACTGATGACGTGAACTAAACTCAAGCTCAAGAATGTGTGTTTTTTAGGATCCAAATGTCAGGACGCTGCTTCAACTGCAGGTAAGGCTGGAAATTTAGATTTTCAGGAAATCGCTTCACTTCATTGAAAATGTATATTTCCAGAAAACCTTCCAGATTACGATCCCAACCTGCCCCAGCCCACGTGCAGAAAGGAACTGCTGAAACGTAAGAACACCACAACGCTTCACTCTAGTTTACATCTGTGTGAATAATCCATAACGATGTGATTCTGTTTCCCACAGACTGGATAAACATCACTCTCAATGCCAAAACTGCCAATAAGTTCCTGTGGGTGGCAGGCGATGGTGCAACAGTGTCTCGTAAGACGGATGACCTGACCTGCCCCGTTCTGGAGACCCCAGACCGATACGAGCACGTTCCACAGGTGCAGCTCCTTTTCACAGCAGTAAAAAAAACACATAAATCATGTTCTACTTTTGCTTCTGTTTTAGATTTTGTGCAAAGAAGGGATCGAGGGCTTCAGAGCGTACTGGGAGGTGCAGTGCTCGGGCTGGGTGGTGGTGGGGCTCACGTTTGAAGGAGCAGCGAGGCGGGGGTGCGGAGGACCCACTGGGCTGGGGGAGAACGACGACTCATGGTGTCTGGGCTGGGGCGGTTCACATTATCAAGTGTGGTACAATGGAGTTAACAAAGAAATATGGGACAAGCCTCAAGCTGCGGTCTTAGGCGTCTATCTGGACCAACCAGCAGGAATCCTGAACTTCTATGCAGTCCAGGACCAGGCCCTGGCAGAGGGCAGCGGTGTGACCAAGGAGGTGCTCCTGCTCTATCAGATTAAAAGTTCTTTTAGGGGGAAAATGTTCCCGGGTTTCTGGATAGGTCAGAAGTCATCGTGTGTCATGTTAAAGAAAGAGGAGTAGGTACACATTCTGATTTTAAAGCTGCAACATTTCCAAAAACATATCTAATGTAATAATATAATGTATTATGTAATGCATATGACATAAGTAATGCTCATGACATGTGTTGATCCTAACTAAATCATCTATGTTCTTTTCACCTGTTCTGTTCAACAGTATTCTCTTTATATACTTGTAAAAGTGCATGACTATTAAACTCATACGACTCTGTCCAGTGTTTGGATTGAAGTGAAAGATCACAGTCTGTGTCGGCCCCTGGGACAATGCCTCGTCAGTAGAACTGTTCAGTTTAGTCCTTTGAGCTGTAACTCAGGTTTAGAACACAGGAGGCCCATCAATCTGTGGTGTCAGGGGAGCATCTACCTCAGCTCAGCTGTTGCGGAGCCTCATTCTACACCTCGGGCCTGTTAGTGCTGCAAGCCGAGCCAGAGGATTATGATGACATGAGAGCATGTCCTGAAAAGTAATAAACAAGATCACATGTGAGTGTACAAATGAGACAAATAAGACAGCAGTGAGGTGCTGTTGACACAAGCACCACACTTACAACGTCACCGTGAGACCAAGAAGCAAAGAAACGCACTCCCAACAAGGGGGAGGCAAAGACAAAACTCAAAAAACCATGTAAAAGTTAAAACAACAATCTTTTATCAACAAGAACTGAACAACAGGTGCAGCGTTTGTGATTAACTCCATAAAAACAATGGACACACAGACACACACACGCACGCACAACACACACACACACACATGCACGCACGTGTAGTTCTCTCTAAACAGTTTGGTGAACACATGTTGGTCTTTGTCTCCCTCTTGTGGCTCTCCATCCTCATGAAAAAAACTTCAGGATAAACCAGAGTAGCCATTACACTGTTATGCTAGTAGGCTGCGTTTAACATTACAATACTACAACTTTAGATGGTCTGGGGGCCTCTGTGCCAGTGCAATCAGAACCATGGCCCCGAGGGGATCTGGGGGCCTCTGTGCCAGTGCAATCAGAACCATGGCCCCGAGGGGATCTGGGGGCCTCTGTGCGAGTGCAATCAGAACCATGGCCCCGAGGGGATCTGGGGGCCTCTGTGCCAGTGCAATCAGAACCATGGCCTCTGTGCCCATCACAATAACACATGTGGAACAACAAATTACTGTACACTCTGTGTAGTGTAATATTTGTGCTTCCCAACCTCTGGTTGTGACTGAATTGTTCACACAATTATTCTTACACAGACTCACTTTTTATGGTTTGAACCCTCAAGATTCAAGATCGTTCTGTTCTTGAGAGAAATAGCTTTAAGATGATGTGCAACATGCCATGGCCTGTCAGAATGTACAACACTGTCGGCCTAAAGTTGGAGATTTTATATTTGCTTTTTTATGCTAAAGTTAGAGATATTTATTTTATTTTAAATAGTGTAGAGCTATTGTTCATTTTTCTTGTGCTGTAACTGGTGATGCAACACTGACATTTCCCCACTTCTCTCTTACTAAATACTGACTATGAAAACGACTACTAAGTGACAATGAATAATAAACCCAACACATTTTTGATGTGAGTCAACAAAACAGCAGAATACAACCAATCAGAAATAAACATTTAGTTTATGGTAAACAAACATGGAAAGAAACTGTCCTCTGGGCAACGCCCTTTTAAGAGAACATTTTCAAATGTTCATGTGAGCGGAGTCAGGCTGGGCACACGTGTTTAGTCGCTCTTTAAATTATTCTATGATGACGCTTTACCATTTCTTTCAACATCTTCTATGATTTTTTCATACTTGCTCCTTATTTTGCTTATGTCATGCTTCTTCATTATGCTCAAGCTGCAGATTTTAGACTTCTTTCCTTATTATGCTAAAGATAGATATTTTTTACGGCATAATTTTTTGCAAGAGTTACGGAGCCCCTCTGATGACATGGTCAAAAAATATATATTTGGCCATAACATAGCTACAACATGCGCACCCTACTAGCAAAAAGTATTTGCTGCGCATCCGCCACCCGCGGGCCTTTTCACGGTGGATCTACGGACCTCGCGGATCCGCTACTGATCCGCATAGAGCCTTGTTCCCTCCCACGGATCTGATAATAATGATTTATCTATTGAATTATGCTGCATGTCATGTGGATATACTCATTGCAAATAGCCATTCCAAATGTCCTTAGCTCAGCGGCCCGTCCTACTTATAATGAAAATATTCCTAAAACAAAAAAGAGTAATATTTATGTAGTAATTGTAACCATTAAACTCCAATATACTGCTGTCCTGACTGACCCCATGCTGTGGTCGAGGCCCGGACCTGACTGACCCCATGCTGTGGTCGAGGCCCGGACCTGACTGACCTCATACTGTGGTCGAGGCCTGGACCTGACTGACCCCATGCTGTGGTCGAGGCCTGGACCTGACTGACCTCATGCTGTGGTTGAGGCCTGTACCTGACTGATGGTCAAGTCCAGGTGTCATAACTGGGAGTGGACATTTGTTTACGGCCTTTTTGATGTGTTGGAGTATACACGTTCGTCAGGTCGTTCAAGGGTTCGGCGATGGCGGCGTAGCCGTGGATGAACCGGCGGTAATACCCCGCAAATCCCAAGAATGATCTCAATTCTTTGAGTGTACGTGGAATTGGCCAGGACTTTAGGGCACATATCTTCTCCGGGTCAGTCTCCACCCCGAGCTCTGAGACAATATGGCTGAGATAGCGCACAGACGTTTGGAAAAATGTGCACTTCTCCAGCGACAACTTCAAGCCGTAGTCCATTTGGTGATGGAGAACTCTCAAGAGACGGCTCTCATGCTCTTTGATGGTGTTCTCTCAAATATAAATCACCCATGCATTTCTCCATGAGGCGTTGAAATGTGCTTGGCGAACTAGTTACCCCCTGTGGCATTCGGTTGAAATCCCAAAAGCCCAGTGGGTCACAAACGCAGTCTTCGGTTTGTCGGCCTCTGCTATCTCTATTTGATAATATCCCGACTTCAGGTTGAGGACATTGAACCACCGTGAGCCAGTGAGAGCTGAGAAAAACTCCTCCAGGTTCAGGAGAGCGTAAGCATCCTTGATGGAGTGAAGATTGAGCTTACGGTAGTCAATACAAAGCCTCACGCCACTGTTCTTCTTTCTCGCGACCACAATTGGTGAAGAGAAAGGAGACTCTGATTCTCTTATCACCCCTGCCTCCAACATGTTGCGCAGATTGTCGCGGACAGCCTCAATAGTTTCAGTTGTTTGCACCGATTTTGATAGTTTAGTGATTACAGGTGATTTTAATATTCATGTGGATAATGGCAATGACAAAAATGCAAAAGAGCTGAGTTCTGTACTTGAAACATTTGGTCTCACTCAGCACGTGAGTGGCCCCACCCACAGCAAAGGGCACACTCTAGACCTGCTGGTTACAAAGGGGGTTAATATTTTAAATGTAAATGTGGTTGACGTGGCTCTGTCAGATCACTTCTGTGTATTTTTTGACATGTGTTTTGATAGTAAACAACCATATATATCTGAATCTGCAATTGTCAGACACAGACACATAAATGAAAACACAACCGAACTATTCATGGGAATGATAAACTTTGAGAACACATTGTGTTCTACTGTTGACGAATTGTTTAACTCTGTCACCGCCAATGTTATAAATGTTCTGGACATCATCGCTCCTGTGAAGGTTAAAATGATTACAAATAAGCCAAAGGCCCCCTGGACTAAAATGGACTCAGTCATGGTACAGAAGAGAGAGTGCCGTAGGGCCGAGCGGAAGTGGCAAAAATCCAATCTCCAGGTTGATCATGATATCTTCAAAAATGAGTTGTGCAAGTTTAACAGGGTGCTACGTAGAACAAGAGAAATTTATTTTTCTAAAACCATTGATGGCTGCAATAATAATCTACGACTTATGTTTTCAACAGTTAACGGATTAACAAACCCCCCTGTTCAGCTGCCATTCGAATTTGCCTTCAGAATCTAAATGTAATGAGTTTGCACAATTTTTCAATGACAAGGTTCAGAGCATCAAAAACGCCATCACCTCCAAGGCAGAAATAACATTACAACAGCCGGTGAGGCTGCTTGAGCTATCGCACTTTGCACCAACAGATAATGAAACTGTCCAAGATGTTGTCTCTAGCCTTAGTTCCTCCACATGTAGCCTGGATGTACTACCCACTAAATTTTTTAAGTCTGTTTTGAGCAGTCTTTTACCTTTGCTCACACAAATAGTGAACATGTCCCTCTCATCTGGAACATTTCCAATGGCCCTGAAAACGGCAGTCATCAGACCCCTCCTAAAAAAGAGGAGACTAGATGCCACAGTTCTTAAGAATTATCGCCCCATTTCAAATCTGCCGTTTATGGGAAAAATTCTGGAAAAAGTTGCTTACCAACAACTTACAGAATTCTTAGTAACTAATAGTTCCTTTGATGCGCTCCAGTCCGGCTTTAGAGCCAATCACAGCACTGAGACTGCACTAGTGAAGGTTACAAATGACATCCGACTTAACACCGACACAGGAAAAGTCACAGTTTTAGTAATGTTGGATCTGAGTGCTGCGTTCGACACAGTCGACCACGAGATCCTCATGCAGAGACTAGAGCACTGGGTGGGTGTCACTGGGACTGCCCTAAGTTGGTTTAGGTCTTACCTAGAAGACAGGAAATACTTGGTTCAGATAGGAAACTGTGTCTCAGATCATATGGCTCTGACCTGCGGAGTGCCACAGGGATCAATTCTGGGGCCTCTTCTGTTCAATATTTACATGCTGCCGTTAGGTCAGTTAATACGCTCCAACAATGTATCCTACCACAATTACGCTGATGACACTCAAATTTATGTCTCACTTACTGCAGGAGAATATGGACCAGTGGAATCACTCCTTCACTGTACTCAACAGATTAGTGATTGGATGCAAAATAACTTCCTTCAGCTAAACGCAGACAAAACAGAATTGATTGTCTTTGGTCCTCAGAAACAAAGAGAGAGCGTTATTCGTCACCTCCAGTCTCTCTCCCTGGAACCTGTAGGCAAGGTCAGAAACCTGGGAGTTATAATGGACTCAGACTTAAATTTTAACAGTCATATCAAATCAGTAACATCAGCAGCATTTTACCATCTGAAAAATATTGCCAAAATTAGAAACATAGTGTCTAAATCAGATCTGGAGATTCTCATCCATGCATTTGTCTCCAGTAGGTTAGACTACTGCAATGGCCTGCTTACAGGTCTCTCCAAACAGGCTGTAAAACAACTGCAGTATGTCCAAAATGCTGCAGCTCGAGTCCTGACCAGGACCAGGAAATATGACCACATTAGTCCAGTTCTCAGGTCTCTGCACTGGCTTCCTGTGGCTCAGAGAATAGACTTCAAAGCAGCACTGCTTGTGTACAAGTCTCTCCATGGCCTCGCACCAGGGTACTTAAGCGACTTGTTAGTCCCATATGAACCGGCCCGGACTCTGAGGAGCACAGGAGGTAGCCTCTTACTGGTTCCAAGAGTCAGAACTAAACATGGGGAGGCAGCGTTTGAGATTTATGGAGCTAAAATCTGGAACAATCTTCCTGAAGATGTGAGGCTAGCATCTACTCTGGCAATTTTTAAATCAGGGCTAAAAACTGTTCTTTTTAGCTGTGCATACGGCTGAAGGATTTTATTGATACATACTCTTTTTTTTTTAATGCATTGTGGTTATTTATTATTTTAATCCCGTGTGTGCTTTTAATATTTTAATTTTTTTTTTTTTTTTTTTTTTTTTCCATTACTTGTGATTTTATTCTGTTTTTAATGTATTTATTGATGTCTCTGATTTGTGTGATATTATGTGGGTTGTGAGGCGCTTTGAGTGGCCTTGTGTTGGAAAGGCGCCATACAAATAAAGTTGATTGATTGATTGAATATCCCGAGGGTGGATGGGCCGAGCTCGGTGTTTGAAGGGTGTCTCATCGTGAAGGCGGATGTGATGTTTCACGTGTTCAGTTCTTCCGAAGTCAAGGTCATGGTGGGAAAACACTTCCGGGATCTGTTCGAGTTTGGATATGACACGGTCTTTCCATTCCGGAGGGATTGGGGAATCACCAAAGTCGATCTCCAGTTTGACAGTTCGACCAGTGTGACAGAATCTGAGGATACATGGTAAGTTCAGCAATGACACTCAATGGTGAGAGTGCAACGTTCTGCTCTGATTCATTAGTGAGCACAATGGGAATCTTGTATGGTGAGTGACTTGGCAGTGTTACTAGGCAGCTTTTCACACAGAGGGCCCCAGGGAGTTGTGTGGTTGGTTGCTTTATCAAAGCCCACTTGCTTCCTGGTGGTGGATTGGCAGGGAACGAACCATTGACAATCATAATGCGGGTTTTACTAGCCAACCTGATGACAACTTCATTGGCTCCTTGGGTCCGCTGGTGCCCTAGCTGGAGTAGTTGAAGGACTGCTCTGCACCCATGGTTGGATGGTTTTGCAGCTGGCACACTCACTCTCCAGATGCTGTTCATAAAGCGGCTCCAGGGTGTTCATCCATATGAGGACTTGCGAGTGAAATCCTGATCCGACATCCGGAACCACCAGGGCCAAAGTATGGACATCCTAGTCAGCCCTAAAGAATGCTTCTGGAAAGGTAATAGTCACTCACATATATCCCAAATATGGAAATTCTTGTCCAGCAGCACCTTCTACTTGTAACAACTCACACAATGGTTTCAAGGGTTTATGTGAGAAATACTGATTATAGATTGATACAGGTATAGTTGTTACCTGAGATCCAGTGTCTAGCAGGCACTGTAGATCTTTGCCGGAGATGGTAATCTGGCTGTTGCTGTGGAGTGCGACTGGCTGCGGCTGGCTGCTGTGTGGGACATTGTTTGTCCTCCGCAGTTCCCATTTGCCCCTCAATAGGAATGGACTTTAGTTTAAAGACGACCGAGGGTGAGGGTTGGATTGCTGCCATTTCTTTTGTCTTTCTGCAAATTGTCTCACACACCTTCCCCATTTATTCCAAACAAATTTGGATGGGCACAGAATTCGGAACCTTCCTCAATCCTCCTTTGGATTGTAGAGTCATCTGGTCCAAAATGTACAACTGCGCGTGATCGTGAGCGAGCGATGGGCGGGCATTTTCCACCTTAAAATTGGACCCTCATCCTCCCAATGCCCAGATCCATTGGCACTATACAAAACATCCAGGGGGAACGTCGTGGAAACTTATTAAGGATGCTGTTCTCTTGATTAGCTGAACAAAGAGCACACAGCTAATTTTCTGATGCCAAGTCTAGTAAAAAAAGAAAAAGAAAAAAACCACACATAATACTAATAGTTTCACCTTTCTCTTGAACTATAAAGCAATACTTTTAATTTAAAACTAAAGATTGTGTTCAGAAGAAACAGCCGTGCAGGGTAACTGAGCAAATCTTGTCCGTAAGTCTTGAAGACAAACCACCAATTTTTACTAAAACACAAACCTTTTATGGAGAACTATTCCAATAAATTGTGACCTTACCGGAGTGCACCCTACATAGCCCGAAAGACATTTCTGAAAAAGCAGAAGATATTGAATATTCAACTCGTTTTCTGAAAGTATGATCCTGTCATTGACTTACCCAAACCGAAGTTGCTTTCTCCAGAACTGAAGATGGCGGAGAAGGGCGTGCGTGATAAAGGTCTCAGTCCGGGTCACGGAACATCATTCAATTTGGTGGGACTATTTAGTTCCTCACCAATATTGTTGGACATGTCCCAATGGTCCCCACGCAAACCTACGCCCTTTGCCTGA